TCAATAGTAGTAGCCCAAACCAGATCCATAGCCAGAGCCAGAGCCATATCCATAGCCACAGCCACACAGAGAGCGTGAGCCATAGCCATAGCCACAGCCCAGTCTGCCATAGCCACAGCCATAACCACAGCCATAGCCATAGCCCAGGCCTCCATAACCATAGCCCAGGCCTCCATATCCATAGCCTAGTCCTCCATAGCCACAGCAGCCATAGCCTCGGCCTCCGTAGTAGTTTCCGTAGTAGCCACACATGGTGTTGGTTGTTGAGGTTGGTCTTGGATAGAGAAGGTGTGTAGGTGACTTGAGTCTGGATAGTTCTCCTTGTGGAGGCCCTTTTATATGTCCTCAGTGTGGGAGGGCCCAACATGTGCTCATGCCATAGCCTAATTTTATGACTCATATATTAATGTGCTATTAGAAATATGTAAGACATTAGAGAAGCATTCCTTTACAAACCATGGTGACTTTAATTCAGTTTGCAGTCCTATATACAAAGCTCACGTTCACAGCAGGTATTCTCTTAAAACTTTGAAACAAGCTGTGATGTAAATAGGGAGTCTTTTCAATAGTTAAGTTGGTTTATTTTTAACCACAGATCATTATTTTTGTCTTGATCTTCAACAATTATATTCCACTCCATCCTTGCTATGAGACATGTTTCAACATTTGTTTAGTGTAAAGCAAATAGTGAAGCATTGGGCTCCTAATGACCAGAGATGAGATTATATAGGACAATGTGGACGATCCACACACATATGTAGAAGAACATGAGAACACAAAAGTTCTGATTTCATCAGCTTTGATCAAAATTCAATAAAGAAATGGAATTTTCATGCAAAATAAAAATTTAAACAATTTTTATTCATTCAAAATTCTCTTCTCTTATGTATCTTCATAAACATTTTTTGATAAACAAAAATGTTATGACAAAACCAGTTTTGTGTTGTTTTTTAAATTTTTATTTTATTTTTCGTGTGTATACATCTGTGCACATGTATGCCATAGCGTAAGACAAAGCTCTCCTTTCCCCATCTGTGTCCCAAGGACCAAACTCAGGTCATCAGGTTTGGTGGCAAGTATCTTACTAAACCATCTCAATAGTCCTTAATTAGTATTTATCGACAGAAACATTTTAACTAAGAGATTTTAACTTTTTTTACTATAAAATATCTCATAATAAAAATAGATATTAGCCTACAGTTTACTTTGAAGATATACCAAAATTCTCTGCACATCCACAAATTATCAATTAGCTACAGATTTGATAATTAAGAAAATAGTTTAAAAACTATACATTTCCCTGGAATTCATAAGTTGACAACATTAGATGACAGCCCATATAGGAATCCATTTTATGTATTCAAAAATAACTTTGAGCAATTTAATTAAAACTTAAATGACTTTAAAATAGTATTTATTCTTACCCCAAATATTCTAAATTTCAAATCTAACAGGATTGAGGCACGTGAACCACAGCAAAGTCTTAGAAGTTAAACGTATGATCAAAGAGAGAGAAAAATACATCACAAAGACTCAAACAAGCTCTTGCCAGCAAAATCCTAGACCATGGGCACATAAAAGTAGTTCTAAAAATTACGTTTGTTTCCCCTCAAACGCTTCTAGATAGAGGGAGAAAACAAATTTATCCATCATTTTAGAACAATAGCTGGTTGTCTCCCTTAGCTACAGGTGGGCACTACAGTATTACAGACCAAGATTTGAAGTCTTATGTCTGAGCACCACTTTCTGATTAGGAACAAAATCATCAATGAGAAATAATTGTCTAAATAACTTTTTATATGAACTTAAGCCTAATGTCTGGGAAGTTTAATCCCTTGAACACTTAAACAAAAATCCTGATGACTTTACTCTTTGGTTATACTTTCCTTTTGGGTGTTTATAAATAAATTGGCTCAAATAAATCAGTTTATTTTTACACTTAGGTAGTTTGAGGATCTGTTCCTCGGGGATCACATGGGCTTGGGAAGAGCTGCTGGCTCCTTTCTTTTACCAGTTCCATCTATGTGAAGATAAGTCAAAGGTCCTGCTGGACCATGGATGCCTTCACTTGGAAGCATGGAGGAAATGTTTCCTCTGAGTTGACCCCCCTCTTTGTAGATTGGACACTGGTTCAAGTCCATCGGAGTCTCCATGGCCTCCCTGAACAGGAGGACAGGTGACTAACCACAGTTACAGGACATTTTGAGAGATGTTCTGTAGTTGCCTAGAACTTAGCGACCTTGAAGGGCAAGAGGCAAAAACTGTCCTTAAGTCCCTCTGACCAGATTAGCATAGGCCTCAAAGTATGGCTCTTAAACATCCAATAAGGTTAGTCCCATCAGTCTGGTATGTTTTATTACCATGTGCATGTAGATAAAGCTTGGGTAAAAAACAAAATGTTCTCAGATAAACCTTGACTAGATATATATTTTGTTCCTTAAACTAGTTGAATAAACTATGACTTTAGAAATTTTAAGATTACAGTTATATTATTTTTGTCTCATCCTTTATAATAACAAACCTGCACAGACCTCCATCACTTGCTTCAGCTTTCTCACTTTTTCTATCTATTTTGGAAAGTATCTCCATTCGCATATCCTTTTAACATCTTTTATATTTTCATTTTCTTTTTTGAATAATTATGAGACATAATCACATTAACAAATAAATTTTCCATCTGTTGTGAGAATTCTCTTCCTAGGGATACTAAGCCATGCTATCCCCTTTTAAGGTTCTAGTGTCAAACCACTGTTTGATTAAAGATTTACTGGGGAACCAATGAATTTACTGAGCTTACTTACCAAAACAACTGAGGGGTTGCTGAGGTGTATGAAGGAACTGACATTGATTCTAACCAGTCCAACAGCTATCAAAGTACATGAAAGCAAATACTGAATCTATCACTCTTGAGTCCAGCCTCGGCAGACAAAAGAAAAATGAGGAGAACCTAATAAAGGGATGCTTTTGTTAAGCTCTTGTCAAGAAATTCCAGTGGACTCTCACTGAACATTTGAAATTTGCCCTGTTCTGCTTTTTTTTTTTTGCTAGTCTGCTGTCTAGAACTTGTAATACTAATTACTCTTGCCTTTACTTCTCCTTCACATCTCCTATTCACCAGTCAGGGACTTTCTTTATCACCTACAGATAAGAGTTATGCAATTTGGGAGTCTTTTAGATAGACCCCTGAAGGGGTACCCCAATTACCTCACGCTGCATCCCTGTTCAGCATGGAAGAAGCCAATAGCGTTCTGCTACACACAAGTTGGATAACCTCCTCAGAGGATGGTGTGATAAGAATAGGAGGTAGGAATTGCATAGGCAGTTAGAGTGAAAAAAAAACCCTAATAGTCAGTTTCTTGGCTAAAAGTCAAAATGTCCTTGGGCCTCTTAGCAACATATTCCTTTGCAAAGGCCCAAAATGTTGAAAGTATTTGGGAGCTTTTATCGAATCCTTAAAAGATTTTAGGGTTACCTCTTCAGAGAGGGGATGTTAGAGTAGCCAAAATCCCCATAAAAGATAAATAAAAGAAAAAAAGAGTACATGAAGTTGTCAGAAAAAAAGTGATGGGGAGATATGGGAGTAGTTGGAGGGGAGGGAGTGGGCATGGATTTGATCAAAACACCTTATATGCATGTATGAAATTCTCAGTAAATTATTTAAAAAATTATAATGCTTTAAAGAAAGTCAGAGCACATTTCCTACCAATCTAAAAACAAGTGAATAAATGGATAAAATATAAAATTCTTTATAATAAAAGAAATATCGTTAATTATAGTAGGAACTGTGGAGTGAAATAAAATAACCCTGCGTTCTAAAGCAAATCAAATATTTGAATAGCAGCAGAATGTTTGACATAGTCTCAAATAATCTTCCGTCTCCCCATAGTTTTAGAAAATACTGCGTAATATACTCATTGAACACTGAATGATCAAATTAATATTATCAGTACTGGGAGTAGCTAATTTCATGTGCCACATGGTATTATGAACTGACACAATTACAGCATGGCTTTAGAAATATGTCAAAAAGTATAATCCAAACCCATTTGGGGATATTCTTAAAGAACTCCGGTGTAGCTTCTGAACAATTAACAAGCTCATACAACTTGAAGAGAGGCGGAGAAACGGTGCAGATTCCTTCTCAGTCATTATGGATGTGTAGAATATGAAATCGGTCTATTCATCCTTCCACGGAGTCCTGCTTAACACATTTGTTCTGTTTCCCATCTCAAAAGCCTTTTCTCTTTTAAAAATTTTATTTATCATTTTTATTTTATGTGTATTGCCTACATATAGGTAAGTGCACTGGTGTCATGCAATGCCTGCGGAGGTCACAAGACACTTTCGGATGGATGCCTTGGAACTCGAGTTACAGAGAGTTTTAGCTACCATGTGGGTGCTGGGATTTGAAATCCGGTCTTCTGCAAGAACAGTCAGTGTTCTTTTTTTTTAAACTTTTAAATTTTTTTTATTTATTGCTTTTATTTTATGTGTGTGCGTGTATTGCCTGCGTGTAGGTAAGTGCACCCGTGTCATGCAATGACTATGGAGGTCAGAAGAGGCTGTCAGATTCCCTGGACTGGAGTTACCAACAGTTGTTAGCTGCCATGTAGGTGCTGGGATTCGAACCCGGGTCTTCTGTAAGAACAACCAGTGTTCTTAACCGCTGAGTCATCTCTTCAGCCCAGCCTTTTCTCTTTATTATTATTGTTTGACTGACTTAGTTTGACCTCAAATTCTACTATGCCTACAACTCTGAAGTGATCTCTTCTATCATATATCCAAGTTCTTTCCAGTAGACCATACTCAGTTCCAGAGCTCTCCCATCTCATAATCTCTCATCAAACTAAATTTTTATCTCCAAGTCTTACATTTTGAATTTAGGGACCAACTGAGTATTTATTACCTTGTCTTGGATCTTGTTTTATGACCTCACCCTTATGTAGCTGACATCACCAAATACTCCCCTATGTATTTATTATGCTGAAATTCCACTAACTGTTATAAATATAAATTTTGTGTGATACGTATCAATGGTACATAGTGATAGGGTTCATAAAGACATTTCCTTACAAATGCGTCTTTTGTTTTGACCGTGTTCAAATATACCTGCCCAAATACACCAGATACTACTTTTCCATAAGATTCTAGTCTTTGTACTTACTTTTCTCCTTATTAAAATAGCAACAGGAATGACTGAGTTTATTTTCAGATTAAAATAAAGTTTAATGTCCAGAAACAGCTTTTATGCCCATGTTATCTTAATTAGCCTACCTGTAGAAACTTTGCGAGTTTAATATACCTCAGCTTTATCATCCTCATAGTATCTCTCAATATTAGTATTTAAGTCATTAAAAAAAAACCTGTCTGCTTCCTTTTCTGTTTTTATTGTAGCCTCTAGAAAGTAGAGATAGCTTGTTTTGTTCGTCTGCTCTTCCATGGTTTCATATAACGGTGTTGGGACCAGGAAACTCTCAGTGAAGATTTGATAAACGAGTGAATGAAAAAAAAATCAACAAAGAAATGAGCTTTTTAATGGCCATAAAGCCATTCTTTGAAGTATAAGCCACACATCAGTTCTATGCCCAAAGTCCCTGGAGCATATTCCTATGTCAGGGGCCTTCTTAAGTCTTAGATGAACTTGTCACTCTCTTGCTGGTTTCAGAAGCCACATTCTTCCGATCATTACAGTGATGAATATCCACTAAAGTTAATGAATTCTTACATCATTGCAAATCTATTCCTCACCGTGGTTCTAAAATCCTTATTGATGGGTGCGTGATACTTTTCGGAATTTGGAACCATATGAATTTTTGAACAGATTCATTAAATATAATAATCTAAAAGACATGAATATCTGTTATGACTTATGAGAGAAAATTACGATTTTGCAGATATGGGTATATGTAAATTCCTACTGGGGAGATCTGAGTCAGTGAGACGGGAGAGTAGAGAGCATGGCAAGGCAGTATTGTGATCAGGAGTCAGGACTTGAATATGATAGAAAACAAGGGAAAAGTGAGAAAAGTATGCATGAAGCTTTTGCATAAAATAGATACTGAACAAGAGCGTAAACCTGGATTTCACTATTAATGATGGCCTTGAACTTCTGATACTCCTGCATCTACTTCCCAAGTGCTAAGGTTGTAGGTATGTACCACCACGCCTAGTTTATGTGCTGCTGAGAATTGAGCCCAGGGCCTTATGTATGCTATGCAACCATTTTACCATTTGAGCCTATCCTCAGTCCCAATACTTAGAATTTCCTACCAGGAAACCCAGATATTTTACCTGTTTCATCATGTGGACATACCTAACCATGTCTGACTATTCTGGTTTCAAGCTTACATTTAAGGAATGACAAGAAGATATTTGGAAAAAAAATAAAATAGCTACAGAGGCATGACACAAATGTATTACATGATAACATGGAGAATCTCATCAATTTTATGTTTGGAATTTTAAGTAAGCCAGGGCTTACAACATAGATATGTCTATCCAGAAGATTCATGATCTCAGTTTTCAGGAATCTTGGCATGCAGTGATCATTTTGTCTTGAACACATGATTGACATGTTTGTTGAGGGCAGATGTATTTTTAATTTAATCCCAATGAGTCTGTGGTTTGCCTCACATGCCAGTGAGCAGTATAAAAGGACTTGCAGCTGATTAAGAGACTCAGACTGTATACGCTTCTCACCTGCCTCAACCAAACCTTCCATTCCTGAGAACATGTGCTACTACGGAAACTACTATGGTGGCCTGGGCTACGGCTGTGGTGGCTTGGGTTATGGCTATGGTGGCCTGGGTTATGGCTATGGCTGTGGCTGTGGCTCTCGATACACTTGCTACCGTCCATGTTGCTATGGAAGATACTGGTCTTCTGGCTACTACTAAATAGTTAATATTGTTATAATGTCCCAGGGCAAAAGCATGTGGGAAAATTTATCATTTTAATTTGCAATAAAGCTAAATTTCTTTCACATTATTTACTGTCTATCATATGTATTCATTCCTTGCTATCATTTATGTAATGTAATTTTGTGTGTGTAATTGTGTGTGTGAGTGAGAGATACAGAGACAGAGACAGAGACAGAGAGACAGAGAACTTCTGTCCTTGTGGTTGGTTCAGTAAATAATGTGGAAAAACAAACAAAGCAAGACTGATTGATTTTGTGCCTGGTATTTTCACACATGTCTCCAAGAGCTACCATGCTGTACACTGAACTAAAGCAAGTCTCACTTTAAGAAAACTGAGTTTTTCATAGCTGATTGATAAAACCTTGCAACCAATCTCCACCAGCATTCTTCCTTCTGTCGTACTTTGCACTGCCTTGATATGCTCTACCTAATCACATGACTATGAATGGATTATAAGTCATCGTAAACCATGTCTTCTGACTTCTTTTCAGTCACAGAATCCTCTTTATGCAACTGGCTGGTATATTTGATAATAACGTCAAATCCTATAACAATGATTTCCATATATTTAAATATGTCTCAGTGATTCTTTTGAGTTAGTTTGATAGTAGTCGTCTTTAAGCAGAATCTCTGATACCATTTGAAGAATGAGGTGGATTGAACAGAGTGATATGATGTGTTCAAAGTGTGCCTGTCCTAGATCCATGCCAAATAATACAGTCTTAGTCCTGGGAGCCTGGCTGACATTCGGTTAAACTCCTTCTAAATAAATTCTTTTTATTAGCATTTTAATTATTTGATTAAAATATTAATAGCTCTCACAATACAATATGAAGAACATTAGATAATTTTCTTTCATTCACTGCTCTCTTTTCTCCCTCTCTCTCTCTTTACTCCCATCTCTTTTTATGGAAAACCAGATGTTTTTAATTTTTCATTTTTGAAGTTCAGTTTAATTTTTCTTATATTGGATGATTAATGTGCTAGGAAATAAGCGTATAAAACAAAATTGTGAAGACAGTGTCTTATTTTTTATATTTTTATCTATTCTTTGAGAATTTCATACATGTATGCAATGCATTTTGATTACATTCTTTCCCCATTTTCCCCCTTCAGCTCCCCATGGGCCCCCGGTGTAGTTCCCTACCAACTCCCTGTTTTCTTCTTTTCGAAAATGCATAACCCTATGAGTCCAGTGACTGCTGTTCATGTGTACATGAGTGTGAAGCCATCCATTATAACCTAACAACCCACCAGTGGCCACACCCCAAAGAAAACATTTTTATCTCCCCAGCAGCCATCGGTTGTCAATAGCTGCTCAGCCAGGGCTTGGGCTTCTGAGACCCTCCTCATCCACATTGAAATATTGACTTGCTTGATTTTATGTAAGTTTTGTGCAGATAAGTACAGCCTCTCTGAGTTCATGAGTGCAACATCCATGTGATGCCCTGAAACGGCACTTTACAGCACTCCTCCCCATTTTCTAGTTCTTACGTTCTATCCACCTCCTCCATTGCATAATCCCTAAGCCTTCTGTGGAGGGCCCTGTATATAATATATACCATTTAGGGCTCAGTATTCAGTTACTTAGGCTCATCACTTTGACTAATTATGAGTGTCTGTATTAGTCATTGCCTACTGCATAAACAGCCTTCTCTGCCTGCGGTTGTTAGGAACCCAGTTCTATGTGTATAAGCAAAAATACTTAGATGGCAGTTGGCACCATGACCATTAAGCAAAGTAACAGCACTAGGTTCCACACTAGGGCCTGTGACTTCCCCCAAAATGGGCTTTTGAACAATTTACAGTGCCAGGGGAACAGGCCTCAAACCCCAATCAGAAATTACTTGGTTACCCCATAGCAATTTATACCATCATTTTATGAGTGGGCACATCTTTCCTGGCAGGTAGGTATTGTAGCATATACCGTTGGTGGGAGAGTAAAGCAGTTCAGTCACTTTGAAAGTCAAACTGGAGACTTTTCAGAAAACTAGACTTAGAACTCTGATATGAACCAGCTGTATAACTCCTGCTCAGGTACCCAGAGGATTCTAGATCCTACAGAGACACTTACATCCATGTTCACCACTATTCTATTCATAATAGCTAGGAAAGGGAATCAACTTAGTTGTGTCATATTTTTCCATTAGTAACTTCAGAGTTTGATCTTTCTGTACTCTGTAATGCATTTGGGGATAAATTTTTGTATGATTTTTTGAAGTATGATTTCCAGCATCTCCTTTACTTGTTCCAGAACCACTTGATAGAGACTAACAAATCTCCACTGTATTAAGTGCCTAGGAATATACATTCAAAACCAAATAATTTATATAAATAAATAGATAGGTAAATGCATGATTAGAGAGACAGTAGATGATATATAAGTAGGTAGATAGGTAGATCTATCTTTGACTCACTATCAGGTTCATTCATCTATCTATGTGCTTTTCTTTACATAGATGTTATATTATCTTGATTATAATCATAATCTATAACAGAATAAACTTTTTAAAGTTGGACATCTTTCTTACCCAGTGTTAAGTTTTTTTTTCTTTTTTTGGAAGTTGAATGACTCAAGGAAACAAAGGTAAAGTAAAAGCAAAAAGAAGCATAGGGCGAGGTTGTTCAGGTTTCAGAATGGCACCCCTTTCAGTGAATATGTTCTGGTTTTTGCGAAGGGTATTTGGTGAACTCATCTTGGAAATTGTACAGGTTACCTATGACACAAAACATTTTTGCTTATGAACCGGATCTATTTCCTTCCCTAGATGTTTGTTTAGATTACATGATATGTTTCCATGAGCATTGTCTTATCTATATTTTATTCGCATATGGTCTTTATAGAATAACATTATGCTGAATCATCCCAAGATAAGGACCCTTTCCTTAACCACGCCTCTGTTTATTGAAATGAGTAGTTAGTGCAGGCACTAAGAAATTCAAAAAAGTCATTGTTTTGTATTTCTGTAAGTGCCTCAGGAAAGAGGAAATGATCTCAGGAAAGGGTTGTTAGATTCACCCTCTGAGTGAAACTTATACTATCTTGAAATTGAAACACACTCACCCTTTCATCAAGTTTAAGCTGTTTAATGCCTGCTGCATTTCCACATATGTGTTTTTAAGCAGCTTGACACAATTTAGAATACTGCCAATGACGATGAAAAGCTCAGCTTGGGACTGTGTGTGCTGTAACACTGTATCTGCAGAGTGAGGACAAATGACATTTCAACAATACCTAAACAACAAACGTGGACTGTTTGGATTTTCTATTTTTTCCTACTTTTGCTTGTTACATTTGGGTTCCTACACATTCTATTTCAGAATAAATTTGCTGAGTTCTTTTAGTAGTGTTTGTTGAAAAGACTAGCTTTGATCCGTTGGTCAACCTTTGATCTTTACCAAATATCAGCTAACTTTATCTATGAGGATCTATTTCTTGGCCCCCTCCTGTTTCTAAATTTTTCAGTAATATTATGATTTCAATTTCTTGTAGACCATGTTAAATTTTCTCTAAGATTTCCTGTTTTAGTAATCTTTATCTTTATAAAGTTTATTTATTTATCCACTTATTTAATTATTTATCTTGTGTGTGGGAGTGTTATACCTGCATGTGTGCACCCATGTCATGCAGTTATCATGGAAGAAAGAAGAGGGTACCGAATCCCATGGAACTGGAGTTACCAATGGTTGTTAACTGCCATGTGGGTTTGAGAGCAGCCAGTGCTCTTAGCCACTAAGCCATCTCTCCAGCCCCAAAGTAGTCTTTATCTTTTCAAGCAACTTCAGCTTCTAAACAAAATTCAAAGGAAGAGCTTTGGCAAACCTCCTTGTCTCTGTCCTGGTATCATCTTCCCCTTTTCAATATCCTAGGCCAGAGTTATAGATCTGTTGTAATTGACAAGACCCCATGGCTTATTATTCTCACCTAACAACCATAGTTTATATTAGGGTTCAATACTAACATGCATGTTTTATGTGGTTTGACAAATGTGTAATTGATACAGGAGAGGATATGGTCCCCTTAGAGAGTTCTCAGTCTAATTCATAAAATAATTTAAGAATGGGTTCAAATGAAAGGTTTAGGACAG